AGCTGCCCACGGTGAGGCTGTAGGCAGGGCCCACGCTCATGGTGAATGCACAGGGATGAGGGAGGCAGAGCACACTGGGAAGCCTGGGGTGGGGGGAGGACGGGCAGAGCTGGCAGGGCCTATGTATGTGTTTGGCTGGGCATGAGTGAGGATCGGGATATTTGCATTATTTAAAAGGTGTGGAATCAAGTTACAGTTTGTTCGTTGATTTGTTCAGTTAATATTTCTGGAGCCTGAATGTCAGGACTTGTATTGGCCTTTGAGGATGCAGAAGATTAATTACAGTGATGTTAGGTGCTGTGAAAGGCCCACACAGGGCTGTCTTCTACATTAAAGATTTGAGAATTTTCCTTTAGAGCTGAGTGCAAGTGAGCAAAGATGGCCCAAGGGCAGGGAGTGGGTAGCGTCAGGGGGATGTGTGGAAGGACTCTTGGGTGGTTGGAGCTTCATTCCTCCCTGGGCCTCTCCGCTTTGCAGCTCAAGCCAATTCTGGCTGACATTGAGTACCTGCAGGACCAGCACCTCCTACTCACAGTCAAGTCCATGGATGGCTATGAATCTTATGGTGAGGGGCAAGGGGTACTGAGGGTTACAAGGAACCAGGCACGGAGGGCCCTAGGAAAGTACGGCAACTCCCTGGTCTGTCCCGTCTTCCCCTCAGGGGAGTGTGTGGTTGCCCTGAAATCCATGATTGGCAGCACGGCCCAGCAGTTCCTGACCTTCCTGTCCCACCGTGGCGAGGAGACAGGCAACATCCGTGGCTCCATGAAGGTGCGGGTGCCCACGGAGCGTGTGGGCACCCGTGAGCGGCTCTACGGTGGGCTCCGTGGGGCAGTGTGTGGAGCATGAGGTGGGGTGGCGTGGTGTGGTGGGGTGAAGGAGGGGACTCAGGGCCAGCAGCATGTTGGAATCCTGGGACATTGAAGGTTTTATAGCTGTGGCTGGGAGTGAGTCTGCCCTGAGGAATAGCTGGGAAGGGGCTGGCAGGCATAGTGTGTGTTGTTGGGATCCAGGATCCCAGAGCCCCTCTTAGTCTCTCTTTTCTATTCCCCCTCCCCCAGAGTGGATCAGCATTGATAAGGATGAGGCAGGAGCAAAGAGCAAAGTCCCCTCTGTGTCCCGAGGCAGCCACGAGCCCAGGTAAGCTAGACCTGTGTTGGATGTCTTGTGGAAGAGTGGGTGGGGTTTCTGCCGGCCCCAACTTCGTTTCTTCTGGGTATTGCTGGCAGGTCAGGGAGCCGAAAGCCAGCCTCTGTAGAAGCCTCCTGCCCGCTATCCAAGTTATTTGAAGAGCCAGAGAAACCGCCACCGACTGGGAGACCCCCAGCCCCACCCCGAACAGCTCCCCGGGAAGATCCTTTGACCCCCAGGTGAGAGGGGGAACCTGTGTCCCCCACTCCATCCGTCACTGTGCCCGACTCTCAGGGCCAGCCTGGGGATTATCTGCATGCTCTGCCACCGTGTGGCTAAGGGTGCTTTCACTGTGTGCCTGAGACCACTGTGGCCAGCCAGGCTTCCCCAGGTGTGGTTCTCTGAGTCAAAGGGAGCAAGATCAGCCTTTCCTCTCAGTTCTCCCTTAAAAAGTGAATGTAGAAGTTGTTTTTAGAACCCAGTGTGAGCCTTCTGTTATTGCTCAGCACAGGATTTCCTGGGTTGTGTCTCATGAGGCCATGTCCTGCAGTAGCCTCCACTGGAAATGGGTTGATGGTCAAATGAATTTGGGAAATGCCTCTTGCTGGATTCTTTTCTTAGATATCCCCAGTGCATATTAGTATTAGCGAAAGCTCCAAGCATGAGGACAGGAAGGAAGCCTCTTCAACTCTATTTAATATAGCTTCCTAAACATAATGGACCAGCAAACTTTTTTCCCACGCAGTAACTATTAATGTCCTGGGCAACTACTGTTCTGTGTGTCATACCTCAGGAAAGCCAGGCCTGCTCTCTGATGCTGTCTAGTTTTTTGCTTAAGCTTTAAAAGCCGCTAGGTACAGATTGCTGTTTTTTCCACTCATCTTCAGCTGTTGTCACCTTGGTTTCATCCTTATGCTTGAGTAAAACCATTTCAAATCACTGAGGTTGCAGTAGACTGACCTTGGATGTTTTGGAAAGCATTCCAAATGTCACTTGTTACTCTTACTGGAGGCCTTTATTGCTCTGCCTCTGTTTTTACCCATTTAAGCTTGGGTTTATGCAAAGTCATAAAAGATCTGAGAATCCAGGTGAGGCAAGGGAGTTCAAGTTATGGCTCTCTCTCTCTCTCTCTGTCTCTCTCTCTCTCTCTGTCTGTCTGTCTCTGTCTCTCTCTCTCTCTCTCTCTCTGTCTCTCTCTCTCTCTCTCTCTTATAGAACTCTTAACTCCTTGGGTTTTTCCAGAATGAAAAATTGAATGATCAAAATACCAAAGGGTAAATGTCTTTCCAAACCTATTAGAGAGAAGGAATTGTGTACATTTAGAAGGAAAACCTATTCTCCTTTTACAAAATATTATTTCTAGCAGGGCATGGTTGCATGTGATCCCAGGACTCAGGAAGCTGAGACAGGAGGACTTCCATGAGTTCAAGGCCAGCCTGGGCTAATAGTAAGTTCAAGACCAGCAGCCTGCACTGCAAAGCAAGACCCTGCCTCAAAAGAAAATTATTCTTTCTGATGTTTCTGTTGTCCAAATAGAACAATCAGATATTTACATGATTAACAAAATAAGGTTTTTTTAAATAGCAAAATGGAAGTGTGGACTGTCTCATTCAGGTGAGGAAGGCAGCGTCTTTCCAAACTTTACCAGCCCTAGGATGGGGCAGGAGCTGAGCCCTTTAGCTGTGAAGAGCAGGTCATGGTGCCACACTGAGCTAAATCCCTGGCCCTAATTCGTCTTTTGGAGATAGAGTCTGGCTATGTAGTTCAGGCTGGGCTTGAGCTCACTATGTAGCCCAGGGTAGCCTTGAACTCTTGGCGATTCTCCTGCCTCAGCCTCCTGAGTACTGGGATTACAGGGGTGTACCACCTTCCTCTCCCCCACCAACTAGAGATAGCAAAACCAAGGGCAGGAGAGTGCAAGTGTTGGGTTCAAGGTCATATTCAAGTCTAGGCCCAGGGACCCCTCTTCTTACTGTCACCCAGTTCTCCCCCTGCACCCATTGTGTTCACCTTGGGTTTCAAGGTCCTAACTTTGTCACCCTCCTCCCAAATCTAGGTCGAAGCCAGAGGGAGCTCCTGAGCCAGAAGGGGTGATACCACCCCCACCTAAGAACAGTTTCAATAACCCTGCCTACTACGTCCTTGAAGGGGTGCCTCACCAGCTGCTGCCCCTGGAGCTGCCCTCATCTACCAGAGCCCCTGTCCCACCTGCCACGAAGAACAAAGTGGCCATCACTGTGCCTGCTCCACAGCTTGGACGCCACCGGCCCCCTCGAGTGGGAGAGGGAAGCTCATCAGATGAGGACTCTGGGGGCACGCTGCCCCCTCCAGACTTTCCTCCCCCACCACTGCCAGACTCAGCCATCTTCCTACCCCCCAGCCTGGATCCTTTGTCAGTACCAGTAGTCAGGGACCGTAGTGGGGGTGAGGCCCGTGGTCCACCACCTCCTAAGACCCACCCGAGGCCTCCACTACCTCCGGGTCCTTCACCTGCTAGCACTTTCCTGGGAGAGGTAGCAAGTGGGGATGACCGGTCTTGCTCAGTACTGCAGATGGCCAAGACACTAAGTGAGGTGGACTACGCTTCCTCTGGGCCTGGGCCTGGATGTTCTGTGCTTCTCCCTGGCCCCCTGGAGTTGCAGCCACCCCGAGGGCTGCCCTCGGACTATGGCCGGCCTCTCAGTTTTCCTCCACCCCGGATCCGAGAAAGCATCCAGGAGGACTTGGCAGAGGAGGTGTGTGCACCTGAGCGTGCTGCCTCAGGCTGGTATCCATCCTTTCAACCTGCCATTTAGGGTCTGCCCTGAGCCCAGCACTGGGGGCTAGGAGGGACACATGCATCAGCCCTAGGCCTTCCTCCCTTTCCCTCAGGGCGCGAGTAGGATGGCTCTCTGCTCTTCCTAACATGCCCTGTTTTCTCAGGCTCCGTGCCCGCAGGGCGGGCGGGCTGGTGGCGGCCTGGGTGAGGCGGGCATGGGTGCCTGGCTGCGGGCCATCGGCTTGGAGCGCTATGAGGAGGGCCTGGTGCACAATGGCTGGGATGACCTGGAATTTCTCAGGTGGGGGAGGAGACTGGAGGAGGATGGAGTGGGTGGCCTGAGGGGCGGAGCTCTGGGCCCTTCGGGAACCACTAGAGCCCATCTTCTGCCTCTTTCACAGTGACATCACTGAGGAGGACCTGGAAGAGGCTGGAGTGCAGGATCCGGCTCACAAGCGCCTCCTTCTGGACACCCTGCACCTTAGCAAGTGACAGTGGAGGCTCTGTCAAGCTTTGAACTCGGCACCTTCCCCATCTAGGAAGGATCAGGGGCAGCCCTGGTGTTGAAAAGTTGTAAGGAGCAGAGTAGTACCTCTCTATTTATTGGGGATCTGTGTCCCTCATGGCCCAGTCATGCTCCCTTCCCATCTTCTAGGCCCGGGCTGCAGAAGTCAGCTGCTGTGGTGAGCAAGTAACTGGTGATGAGACGATTGGTGCAGTCTTTTTCTCCACCCCTGCTCCTGGCCCTGGGGCTTCATGTAGGGCAGTTGGGTATTACTGTCCCCCACCCCATTTTCACCAGTTTCTGCTTCCCTTACCCGGGTCTGAATCACAGGGAAGAGTTCTTTTAGGACATTTTCCAAAACTGCTCCCAGGATGCCCGTCCGGAAATGAAGGAAAGAGCCCAAGGACTGGGCTGGGGTTTATTTAAGCCTTTCTGTGTGGGTTCTGGGAGGGAGAACGCCTTAATGTTATGGGGGGAAGGCAGACCTCGGCCATAAAGTGCGTTTGCTTATTTCTTGCTGTGTCCTTGTCTGTGCTGCCTGCGCTGTAGAGGGTCCTGGGCTGATCGCAAGGACTACAGGAGGCAGGGTTCTTGCCAGTAGCCTGTCCTTGTCCTGGGCACTTGGATTGCCGACACCGATGTCTTCAATAAATTAAGTTTTATTTGGATTGAGCATTTAAAATCACCTCAATAAATTACAAGTTTTCAAAGAAAAACAAATCAGGAAAAAAGAAATGTTCCCCACCGCTAACAAGGCCACCTGCTGTGCTGGGTGGGAGAGGACGCAGGAGGGAGGGCTGGGCGGTGGGGCCCCTCAGGCTGCTGATTATCCCGGCTAAAACCAACCTTGTCACCTTGGGGCAGTGCTGGTGGGCTGGGGGTGGGGCAGCAGATGCTTACGGTCACCAAGGTTAGGAATGACCCAGCCAGCTGCGAAGTCCCGGGAGGGCACCTTGCCCCGCCACAGGAACCCTTGTTTTGGACACTGTTAGGAACAGGCTTGATCCTGGTTTCAAAGAAAGCCAAACTAGCAGGAGCTCTGGCTCTCCCGGGGGTCGGGTGAAAAGGACTCCCGCTCTGCTGGGTGTGGGTGGGAGGATGAGAGTGGCCCGACTTGGTTTCCAAAGCTGGGGAGGGTACACCTAGAGGTCAGACACGGCAGTGGGAACGGATGAGGGCTTTGAGGCAGGGAGCCGGGATGGAGAGGGATTCTGTCAGGTCCTGGAGGAGCAGGGATGTCTCTGGGGGCAGGATCGGGGCCTCCAGAGGCTGGCAGCTAGAAGAGATTGGTCTTCAGGGCAGGGCCGGGCTTCCTGTGGAAGGAGGACAGAACTCCCGAGAAGGGCCCCGGCCCGGGCTCCGCCGGCTGCCAGGCCTTAAGTAGCTCGGCCGCGCCGGCG